TTGTTCAGGCTTTTAGAGAAGGGTGAACTATAAGCCTGAATTACATAACATTTTATACCTAAAAACATAAAAGCCACAATAAATAAATCACAATTATTGTAGTTATTTTTACCTCCCGTATTGCTTTCAACCCACCAGCTTTTATGGTGTTGTTAGGTCACTAACTGTAAGCTTGTCACATACAGTCTATGGTCACTCAGAGTAACCTACAGTTAATTTAGCTGCTGGAGAAGAAAGATCAGGGGGGGAGGGGGGGGAGAGAGCTGTGGTTGATGGGCCATTAGTTGTGTAAATACACAACTGAGAGCTGCCGTTTCATTCAGACTGTTTAAAAAACGGTAACAACGGACTATTTTTCTTAGCGGATGCATGTCAATTTAAATCAATACATACAACTATTTTTTAAATCAATAAAAACATTTTCTAAATCCATAAAAGCATTTCAATTAATACTGGGAGTCATGTCATTACTTTGTTGAGAATGTGGCCGTGTAATAAGCGGGATAATTTGCAGCGACTTGTTCCTTATGGGGAAAATAACACCCTTCATGCTACGCGTCGGGATCCTGATCTGCCGACGAGGCCCCAATAAAATATAAATATTTGTAGTGATTTGCTGAGTTTAGGCACGTTAATAACGTTTTAATGAAGTTGAATACAGTATATTCATATGTGTCAGTGATTTCATGTCATTTCGGCGAACATAAACATAAATGATCGTGGTGAAGATGATGATTAAATTAGGATTAAAAATCGAGAGTTGGGCTGCATTTCCTCCCGTTCGTTTTTTTCGACTAAACAACATTATTTTGTTAAATAACAACATGGTGATGTTTTGTAAATGTACATGTCTCTTATTTAGCACAGAGTATGATATCCGTGACATATGGATCTTAACAAAGTTCCGCTGTACATCCGGTATCTGACTTTATTTCACATGAGCTCCAGTGTGGAACCCCACTGCACCCCCTGGTGGATCAATGATCCATTGCAGCTGGCTTCATTATATTTACATTTATCTATCACGGGGGCGGTCTCAAGTCAAGCTGGAGGTTTTCCCTCGAGCGAGGGCAGATCACGTACCAATCACGGCCCTCGTGTTTCAAACTGTCTGAAATGAAGCGCTACATCTGTAGATAAAATAAGGCCTTTTAATCTACAAGAGCGCCAAGAAACCAAACCTGGAGTTATTTTCTTATCTGGAAAATAGAAGCTAATGTGGTGGACTGTGAATGTTTGGCTGACTTTTTACACTCAAATGAGCTTTATTTCATTGCAACACTAACAGGCATTATCCGGAAAATGAAAATGTCCATTTCCCCGGAAAATCACCCTGGCCCGTATCGCAGGCTGGTTCAATATCTTGACGACATTATTGACAAAGTCTAATTTCCTGCTTCAGAGGAGACTTCGTTGAACTTTGCATGGCCCTGGGAACAACACTTGCAATTATTATTTTAGGCTGAATCTCCCCTTTAGGAAAGAATAGGTTTCCTTTAAATATATATGTCTGTCTCTGTTGGGTTCTGTGGTAGTTTAGTATTTCACTTTCATATAGTTGTAGGACTTGTGAGAGACATATTAAAGAAGAGATGATCAACACTGAGCTGCAGAGGCTGAGCTCTCCTGACTTTTCGGACCAGTAGTTTGTGTCAAGCCACAAAAACTGAATCCAACAATTCCAAAGATTCAATACTCTCAATATTGTCTTTCTTCAGACCTTACCTGGCCTTTAAGCTTCCATGTCTCTATTTTGTTCCAAAAAGCTAACCCTAAATCTCAGTTTAAAATATTAATATTTTGATAAAAACAAGAATACAGAGACGTCTGAATAGTGTCCGTTAGCGGACCTTGCCGAGCTGGATTTTGATGCAAAACTATTTTGCATCCACTTTTTAGGCTCTGCTAACCAAAGCACTATTCCAAAGATACCAAGTCCTGGAGAATGAGACAAAAGAAACACGTCTGTGTCATTATCTTAGCTTTATGTCACGATTTTATTTTTCTCTGTCTTGTCATGGGTTTCATTTTGCAATTCTGTTCTCCCTGTGTCTTGTCTGTCTTTCCTGTCTCCCTCCATGTTGGTCACGGTCAGTTTTTGTTTACCTCGTGCTACCTGTTTATTTCATGTCATGTTTTTTCAGTAATCAGTTTTTTTTAAATAAAGCTTGCCTTTTGTTCCTTGACTTTTCTTTGTCTTTTTTATTCTGCATTTGGGTCCTACTTTTTCCCCAAATCCTGACACTCTGGCTACGGGTGTACCTCGTGCAAGGTCATAAAGATAACCCCTATGAAATTATTGGGAATTAGTTTATGTCATCCAGAGCAGTGAACTAATATTGATGCCTGCAATTGGTTGTGTGTCTCTTTTAAAGTGCATTCTGTAATTAATCAAAAAAATGTTTGTCATGGTGCTCAAATTGGAACGACTGTTAATTTGATTAATAAAGTTAGTAAATAAAGTGAATTAAGTCAGAATCTTCACGAAGACACAACAATCAAGTAACATAATCTGGCAGTATTCTGCAAAAATAATTACAGATAGCTTGAAAATCAAATATGCAAATTAATCATTTCCTAGGGAGTATGAAATTGCTATCTGGAGCACTGACTGAAGATTCTGATGTTTTTTTTGGCAGGTGGCCAAAGACTTTAGCTGGTATCCTTGCCTTCTTGCCCTGCGCTCCTGCCACCTTTGGCTCGGCCCACCACCCCTCTAGCAGCGCCGCCCACCCCTCCAGCCAGAGGGGGAAGAAGGCTTGGCGGAGCTGTGACCAAAGTGGACGCTGGGCGGAGGAGGACTACACCCAGTGTCCGTACGCCAGCGAGCTGACCCGCGTGCTGCACGAACTCACACAGGTACTGATTACGTAACGTTTCTGTCACCGCTCCTCACTGTACAGTTTTTTTTCTCGTTGTTTTTTAAATTTATTTTCTCTTTTACAGCATTGTTAGTATAACGTTGTATTATTATTATGTTTATTGAGCTTTAATCTGTTGCAACTCTAGCGCAGTACTTTCCTTCTGGATAAACAAAGTCTTATTTTATTTTAAACACACGGAGAGCTCGGCTCAGATTTATTCACAGAATGTATTTCACACTTGTCCCCCTAATGTCAATTAATTGGTTTAAGGAACTCAGACTAGTGATGCACTATTGATTTTTTCATAACCAATAATTCATAATAACCTGCTTTTATAGCAGATACCCAATTTGACTTTCGATTTTTTAAATACTTTCATTACCTTGTTTTAGGCACATCCGAGCGTAAGAAAAACACTGATTCATCAATGTTCATAAAAAAAAAAATCTAAAATAATCAAAGGCTTTTATTGCAGATAACAAACCTTTGAAAACGGTTCTTCCTTTGAAACTCTGTAAATGATAAGCAATGCAGACGATAATGTTCAGATCTCTACATTTATAATTATTCCCTGTTTTTATTGTCTGATTCCAAACCAGCTTTAAAGAGGCCCCATAGGGTGCTCTTTGGGGTGTTCCCTTTCCTTTAGTGCGTTATATAGGTTTTTGTGGATGTAAATGTTCTGCGGAGGCTAAAATGTACTCCTTTTTTAACTTCACTAACAAAGTGACATCCCTATGTAAAGGAATGTTGGTTAGGGACAGGGCATTTCCGACACATCTCTAAGCGGTTGACCAATAACAACAATCAGAGCAGACTGGGCTCTGGTTTCAGACAGAGTGTGAAAAGAGGTGCTGCAGCACAGGCAGTATGAGAAAAATAAAGAGCTTTTTGAACATTAAAGCATGGAGACATAATAATAATAAATGGGATTTATATAGCGCTTTTCTAGACCCAAAGACGCTTTACATTATGAGTAAGGTCGACAAACAAAACAAGAACAAAAACACAAACAAAAACAAAAACAAAACAGAAAAGCAGTCAGGAGGATGTTGGTTCAGAGGGGGGAGGGGCGGGTTTAAGGATAAGCAGAGTTGAAGAGGTGGGTTTTGAGACGGGACTGGAACAGGGTGAGGGAATCAGACTCACGGAGGTCTTGGGGGAGGGAGTTCCAGAGCTTCGGGGCTGCCACAGAGAAGGCTCTGTCCCCGAAGCTCCGGAGTTTGGCCTTGGGGATTGAGAGCAAACCGGCTGAGGTGGATCTGAGGGACCGGGGTGGTTGGTAGAGGATGAGGAGGTCAGTGAGGTAGGGGGGGGCCAGATGGTGGAGGGCTTTATAGGTGAGGACCAGGAGTTTGTAGTGAATGCGGTGTGAGACGGGAAGCCAGTGGAGTTCTTTGAGGACCGGGGTGATGTGATGCCATGATTTGGTGCGGGTGAGGAGTCTGGCGGCTGCGTTCTGGACACGCTGGAGTCTGTTGAGGGATGTTGTGCTGATGCCGAAGAGGAGTCAGTTGCAATAGACAAGGCGGGAGGAGATGAAGGCGTGAATGAGTCGCTCAGCTGCGGGGCGGGTGAGAGAGGGACGGAGTTTGGCGATATTGCGGAGGTGGAAAAATTAGGTTTTTACAACTTGGCGGATGTGGGGGTCGAGGGAGAGGGTGGGGTCGAATATCACGCCAAGGTTGCGTGCCTGGGTGGAGGGGGAAACAGAGGTACCATCGATGGTGAGTGTCAGGTTGGGGGTTTTGCTGAGGGTGGATTTGGAGCCGACATGTCCCAGTAGAGACACTAGATACTGATATACACCTATAAATGAGGATAGTATATCCTCTTTAAAAAGTGTTAGGGTTACTTGGAGTAATGGAGTGTTCATATCCTGAGCATTTTAAGTCAGTTAATACAATTTGGCTCTATATTATCGGCTGCCAATTTAGCGGCCTTAATTCTTTATCAGAATAAAACTTAATGCTAAACATTTTCCATCACCTCCAATCATAGATCGCCGCTGATATACAGTATATCGTGCAATCCTAACTCACGCTTTAATTTCATATTCCTGGAATACAGATACAAAAATCTCCACTGGCTCTTGTTTAGCCTGCAGGTATTTGAAGAACTGTACATTTAAGCCTTTATATACATAATACAAACTGACTGACGATAAGCTGTTTCATCCTACATTACACACGGGATTACTGTACCACATTCAAGTTCAAAACTACATGCATGGCATGAAACAGCATTACTGTGATGTATTATTTATTAAATGTTGTCAGAGCTACTTCATGTGATGTCTCTGTTGAATTGCACTGATGGACTAAATACTGATGTATGTTTTATTTGATTCCAGATAACTGTGAATACCACCAATGCTCAGCCCTTGGGCCAGCAGTTAGTGGCCTTCACCAGCAGGGCAGCACACTTCACTGATGTCATGGACGTCATCTTCGTCACTCACCTGGTGGAGAGGTTGACGAGGCTGGTGGAGAAACGTAAAGATGTGAGTGAACACACAGAGGGACGCCACAGGCAGTTTACTACGTGACGTGGGATCTAATTATCAGATCCAGACGTGAACATTTGAAAAACTGTTTATTTTGAAGCATCGTGTTTCAAAGGTACTTCGCTGGTATTGTTTCCTGCTTCTCCTACATGTGCTTGTTCACAGCTAGCTGAAAGAAATAATTTGCCTTCAAAAGCTCCAACTGACCCTACGTTAAGCCCCTCCCCCTTGGCTCATGTTGCCAAGACTGACCATTTTCCCTCCACATGTAAAATATATATAAGTATTGATAGCAAATTTCTAAATATAATAATTCTGAAATTCGAGCCAGGACAGAAGGACTAAACTTACAGTATACTTTGTTGAGTAGGGGAGAGTGGGGTAAGTTGAGCAATTGTTTAGTTATGCTGTCCACTAAGCAAGGAGAAATGACACATAGTAAAAATGAAAACACACACCTATAATCCAGGATGTCTCCTATCAATGGCAGTGAAAATATTACTTCTAAAAAAAAAAAAGTATTGTGGCTCAACTTGCCCCAGTGTAGGGGTAAGTTGATCCAGGTCAGGGGGTAAATTGAACCACTGTTCAAACCTGGGCATACCTGTTCAAACCTGGGCATATCTACAACAAATCTTAAAGGTAACTATAAACAATAAATAACAAACCAAATACAAGCTTAGTTTTTCAAATATTTTTAATATAAATTTCGATTGAATTGATTGATTTTTTTTTAACATGTTAAAAGGAAAAGTAATCATACAAATGGTGATACAGTTTCATACATCTTACCAATCAAACACAGGGTAAATTCAACTTTAAATGTGCCTACAATGAGCTCTTATTATCAACTTGGCCTACTTTCATTAATTTGTTCATTGAATAACTGGCTCAACTTACCCCATGGTTCACTTTACCCCATAGCCACCATTTTAGAAAAAATAGCCTAGCATTAAAATTCAGAGTCATCTTTAGCTTAATGATTCACATGGTTTAATACGCTGCCAACACATCAACATATACAATATATGTGTTTAAACCTGGATACTTATTTTTTGACATGACAGCCGATATAGCTGACATCTAGAAAATGTGCTTTGACAAGCAAAAAGCGTTTTTTTGTGAAAATGCTTACTTACCAGACCACAATGAGTATCTCTCTTTCACAGGCAATGAGAAATGGGAGGAGCTTGCATAATTTATGGTTAATTGATTACAACTATAAGGTTACAGGGGGTGGTTCAATTTACCCACTGGCTCAACTTACCCCGAAACATTTGACCCGTCAATGCAAGCGCCAGAAACCACTTGAAGGACAAGCGTACAGTACAGGAACAGTAATATCATTGCAGCCGGGTACTTCAATATATATATTCTTTAATTTTGACTAAGTTTGGTTATTACTCCCTATAGCTTCCATTAGCCTAAAAAAATATTAATATTTCTAACAAAAAGGGAAGTGCAGATATATTCATTTCAAGAAAGTCATACCATTGTAAGATGCTTGTGAAATAGTTACAGGGACTTAACTAACCTTTAAAATTGGCAGTTTAATTTTTGTGCTGCAGACGGTTTTGTAAATTAAAAACCTACTAACAATCCTATTAATAACAAAGTGAGGGTTTTCATACACATACAGAATGGAAAGCGTAGAAAAATTGCATCAATGACGTTGACAAATAAACATTTTATTCCCGAAGTAGCTCGGAAGAAGACAAATTAAGAGATTCTAGCAAGTATACTTAGAGAAAACAAGGACTGTAGACAAGACACAACAACTAACAGAACAAAAACAGGAATTGTACAGAGCCAACAGTAGGCTGGAGGAAGCTGAGGGACGAATCGATGAAGCAGAAACTGCAATACAGGCAGCGTTAATGCAACTGATTTAGAGGTAACACTCCGATTTTACCTGGAGAGTCTGCACAAACTAACATCTAAATTTTCCTAGAATGTTTACTGAAGGATTGGACAGTGGTTGTCCTAGGGATGGGCTTAATGAAGGTCAACAGAGCAAACAGAAAAGGACTCTTCATTGAATCTGAACCGCAGACAGCATGATCTGCCCCAAAAAGACATGGCAGCACGCTGTCTCCTGGCTTCAACCCTTTAATCGATTCCAGACAGCTTAACTTTTCACCTTGCGCGCTTCCCTCTCGCCCATGCTGGTGTTGGACCTGAATGGCAATGATGGTTATGAAGATGCATCTGTTTTTGAGCAAGCTGTGTTTTACCTTAAGCGAACCTCTCCTCTGTCTGTGGCCAGCGGCCATCGGAGGGCCTTACGTCACACTGAAGGTCAGAATGTAGGGAGGGAATGGTGTTGAGCTTACTCAGTGGAAATAATCAATATTAGCTCTCACTGGTCCAATTATTCATTATAGGTCGCCCGGGAGGAGGTATTATTAGGAGATACTTCCATTTTATCATTCTTAAGACAATGCTGATGAGACCACCCTCATTCATCCAGTCAATTGAAGCAACAATGAAAAGTACACTAAGTAACTAGCGAGCTGCCATCCCAAGGAAGCGATTATGCCCCCATTGCTATGCTAATCTAAATTAAATCTCCCTATAATGAATGAAGCCACCATTGCCTCCCCCACAATTCTGACTGTAGATTATAAATGTGCCTGTTGTTACGGATATGATTGATGTGCATGATGAGTCTACTGCAAGTGTGTTTTGGCTTCTTACAATTTGTCTAGTTTTGCATAAAAGTGTGTCTCTGTGTCTGCAGCTGGGGGACTATATATCAGACATCGCCAGTAACATGATGCTGGTGGAGGAGCACGTCCTGTGGATGGCCCAGAATGAGGCCAGAGCGTGCACTCGCATCGTCCAGTGCGTGGAGCGCATCGCCGACCTGTCGCTGACCGGAGACAATCAGGTCATTTCTAAGGTACGGCCTGACTCTCAAACACCCAAAAACATCGGAAAGACTCAGTCAAGGCTAAAGTTGTTAATCTGATTAAATTGCCCAAAGCCTTACCTTTTTTCTTGCTCCTTAGAATAATGACAAGTTAATTTGGCTCGAGCTGAAAGAATGCATGAAAAATATGAATTGCTTCTTTTGCTGTCACTTGGTATAAAGCATCATCTTGACCCTCCTTTCATGTTTGTTTCTAGCTCCTTACTTTGGTGTTCATGGTCAAATCTGACAGGCCTATTTTAACTGCTTTTACATTAACTCAAAAACCATTAATCATCACCAAAATGACATTTAAGCTGTAAACAATGTCTCAAAATACTGGTTTACATGAATAACTGCAGTGAATATACAACGAATAGTCACTGAACATTTATTCAAAAATGCACATGGTTGTACTGTATGGTGTCCTATCTGATGGATGAACATAATCTAGGGTTAGCCATTCATTTCCTATGGTGGCCATTTTTCACCGGGAACATCATAGGTGTCACAAAGTGGACTAAACCACTAAATATTCCATGATAGTGGTGATCAATATTGCACATATTCAAATGCCTACTGTGAGGATATCAGAAGGCCTTGAGGCAATCAAATATAAAACACAATATTTATGACTGATGAAAGTAGTGAATCGAACATGAAAGGATAAAATGACTAATGTAGAAATCTCTTACACCACCCTCCAACCCTTCCCCCCTTTCTGCCAAATGTGTGGTCCCCTTAGGTTTCAGCTAACATAGCTCTGGAGGCCTTTCTGATCCAACCATCGAACTTCCTCGGTCTGTCCTGTACTGCACTTCAGCGCACCCCCCCCTCATCTGCCATCTCGCCCCTCCCTGACGGCCACTCCCACTCCGACCAGGACAAGATCAGAGAGGGTGACGCCGCGGGGGAGTCGTTGCTCAACTTCAAATGCCACACCGTCAACAACAGCGCTTCAACAGCCAGTCAGCTCAGCAAGGTAAGGCACAAGTTAGTGCCCACCCCCGTTTTTTATTTGGGTTTGTTGTAAAAAATCCACCAACTCCAACCTGTGGTCCGAAAGCCCTGCTTCGCCATTGCTTCCTACTTATTCCCAATGGTCTTTTTTTTATTGAAGCCATACTTTTGACACTTGCAAATATAATAGTGAGAAAGATGTTCTAAAAGAGGAGAGGCACATATGAAAACAGCTTGTCCAGCAGCTTGTGGGCACAGTAAAGTGAAGTTTAAGCTACGTGGGAAGGGGTTACCACCTGCCCTTAAGTCTGTTGTTGCCTATATTGTCTCTTTGAAAATGACACCTTATTTGGCGCTGTTGGCAGATCAGCTGCTCATAGGTGGGATTTTAGCGGGGGCGGAGCCTGCAAATAAGAGGGTACTTTGGGAGTGGGTGAATGCGGGGCCACTCCCCTGTGATGAATAAGATGGCTTTGCGGGACAAGGTAAGATGCAAGTTAGTGGGAAACATTTGTAAAATATGCTTATCCAGCGTTACGTTTGTCTCTGTTGGCGAGATGCACCAAATCCAGCTTCTCTTTCTCATTCCCAGAGGTATTTTTTTAAGGGCATACATTTTATTATTTGTGATGCTTTGTTCAAATGCAGGACTGTGAGAAAAGATGTTATAAAAGAGGATAAACTAAATATAAGAATGTGAGAACAGCTTGTCCAGCAGCTCGTGGGCACCATAAAATGAATTCTCGGACACACAGTTGAAGCACGTGGGAAGGGGTTACCACCTGCCCTTAGGTCTGTTGTTGCCTATTTGTCTCAGGAAAATGACACCTTATTTGGCGCTGTTGGCACGCCATAGATCAGCTGCTGCTGTACTTTGGGAGTGGGTGAGTGCGGGGCCACTCCCGTGTGATGAATACGATGGCCTTGCGTCCCTGTCACTTTGAATCAGCTGCGGCCCCGGCATGGCTCCAGTTTTTTTAGCCGTCCCAAATGCCAAATACCACTTCAACACGGGCACTCTGCAGAGGGTGGGCTAAACATCCACCTCCCCTGGCACTGAAGTGGCACATTTGTGTAATGTTTGAACAGTTTGCATCCTCTGGCTATTCACTCCACCAATGTTTTCATTAGTGTGCATGTGAGTCTGTTTGTCACTGTGCGTCAGCAGGAGAACTTGAATGTGTGTTTGTCTTTCTGTCTTCATGCTTTCTTCACTTCCCTCGTCTTCCTCTTCTCTGGGAGACTTCTCCCCTCCTCCCCTGGTACCCTTACCGCCCTCTCCCTCCCTCCCACACTCCCACAAACACTAATTTGGACGGACGGACTGAAGCTAAGGCAGTCAGACAAACTGATAGACAGGTAAGTGATGGGGCAACTGGAGCAAAAGACGGGGGAAAGTAAAGGTGGTGCAGGATATATATTTATAAAAACACAATAACAATGACTTATAATATATACTTACCTGGCCACACGTATATACAAATATCATAATACAGATAATATTTGTATACACAACTTGGGCTAGTTTTAGATTGTGGGTGCTCTGGTGGGTTAAAGGGGGGTGGGGTGGCAAGGGGATTACAAATTCAATATAAATTAGACTCCATAATTGCTTTCTTGAACATTGCTTAAATGTGACTTAGAGAATACACACGTATTATAGAGTGTGTACACTACTGATTTACTGTAACGGCCCGTCCACACTACAGCTTCAAAAAAAGCTTGCCGGCGGGCGTGTCTGAAGCTCGACCAACAACCAATCACATGAATCTCCCGCCCCTGACACACAAGCAGCGGTTTGATTGGCTAGAGCTTGTACTGGCATATGATTTGATTGGCTGACGCTTCCACCGAAAGCTTCAGAAGCTTCAAAAGTTGAACATTGCTCAACTTTTGCAGCCTGAAACGCCAGGAAAGCCCCTTTCTGCTACCCACAATTCAGTTCGGCGAAAAGCGAGGCAACGTGACGTCACCCCATTCAAAGTGAATGGGCAGACGTGTTGGAAACCGTTTTTGAAGCTGTCGAAGCTGTAGTGTGGACGGGCCGTAAGGCTGTGATGGGGATTACTTCTGCGTTATTGGCTAAAGCTTGTGAGGAGAAATCATAATAATATTGGAACAATAAAGGCTAAATCCATATTGTATCTCCATTAAGTGAGGCTGGGTTTAACAAGGCACATTTACTAATAACATAACGTTAATCAAGAACCCAATTCACAACAGGTCACAACTGCTTGTAGGTGGCAAGAGAATTACACATATTACATTTCAATTAGACTCTATACTTGAAAATTGCCTTAGTGTGACTAACAGAATACATGTATAAACATAATTACCTGAGTGGAAGATGCGTTAAGAGAGTCATATTGCAGGATCATTCTACACAGTAAGGAGTAGCATTGAACTAAATGTTATTATCTTCTTGCTGTGCTTAGATTTGGCAAATATTCTACATTTTGGATTTTTTTTCTGAAAGTTCAGCCACTTTTTTGTTGGAAGACATGTGAGAAAGCCACTTACTGATAATATGGGAAAATCTCCCAGGCTAAGTAATTAGGCATATTCTCTTGGAGCCAGTCTCAAGCACAAACAAAAATGGCGAACACACAAAGATTTAATTGTATGATGTTTCATTTCTAGTACAAAGAAAATGAAAATTGAAAATACATCATGAAAATTGAAAATACATCATGATGTTTGACCATTTTCGATCTTATTTCAAAATTCTAACCGTACATTTTCTTTTGAAAGTCATCTTTTGGAATTTCAAAAAGAGAGTAGAAAGATTTGACATTTTATGTTCATTTTCAGGTTCATATTTGTATTTTGTGCCTCTTCTGTGACATGTCTCCATGCTTTACTGTTCAGAATCTCTTTGGGATTTTAGCCTTTTCAAAAGAGAAAACCCAAAAAGCATAATAGGGCACATTTTAAACATGTTAATAAGTAATGTGCAAACTCTGATGCAGCGCACAATTACAGTTAACACATTTTTTTATTTTGTCAATGTTCAAAGCATTAAGTGTGAGTGTTGCCATGACAATAACTAGAAAATGCATTTTCTGCTGAAAATGCATGCAAATGCTGTAAACTGTGTACATTTGTTGCTAAAAATTCAGAAAAAGCTGAATATTTTCTTAGCTGAATGGTCTCTGTAGCTGCTGTTAGCTACAAAAACCAAGTAAGTGCTTTGCTGAACTTAGCGGAGAAATTAAGAAAGGTGAAATGATTTGAATCAAAATTGTTACAGCTCAAATGCATTGCAATGGCTTTGTTGAAAACTTGAAAGTGAAATGTTAAACTGGAAGAGTAGGAACAATAGTAAAGAAGCTTAATATTTAAAAGGAAAGGTTTAAAAAAGGTATAAACAACTAAATGTATAGCCTCAATGTCTTGAAATAGCTGAATAAGTTTATAGTTGAATGGTTTCTGTTAAGAACTCAGACACTTAGGATGTAGGACCCAATTGCACGACCCGGGAGACAGAGGTAAAGTATTGGTAAGATACTTTATTTTCCAAAATACAGCAAGATGAACAAAAACAGGTCACTATCAAATCTCAAGTTGAGATGACAAAAATAGAGAACAAAAGGAAAGCGCTCACGTAGTGAGGAACAAAACCTTTCAAGAGCATAGACCTGACCATGGCAAGAGACAAGACGGATTGACACTGAACACTGAGAGACAGGGGAATTTAAACACAGGATAACAAGGCACAGGTGGGGACAGTCAGGGTCGGGGCTGACGCTGATGAGCACAGGAGACACAGAAGGGAAACAAGTGAACACAATCAGACAATTAGACACACCAGGGAAACTAACGACAGGGAGGAAAACACTGAGGCCCCGTCTCAGGTCGGTTAAATGAAATCCTTGCTTCCCTCACTTGCGTTGTTTCCCTGCGTTTAGT